TCAAATATTCTGTAGTCCATGAAATTTTCCCCTGCCGAGAGGCTCAAATAGTTTTTCCATCCAGCAAAAACCGCAGGCCAGTCAAGTTAACTTTGCCGTATCCTGTATGCGCCAGGACTCGAGGCGAATTTCTCTATATTTCCCTCTGTCTCTCGACCCTCTTCGCACGTGTTGACAATTTTTTGGCCACAACTTTACATTAGGCTAGAAGCAAAAACTAATTATATTAAAATGTCATGGAAAATGGTTTGTATTTTTTGTTGGCATTGGTCGTAAATGGTTGTTGGGATTTTCAGTTTGCCTTACCAGTTGGTTAGATTATTCAGTTTAATGCATTCATAAACGTGTGTGTGTGTGTGTGTGTGTGTGTCCAGAGCTTGCCAAGTCGCTTTTTTGCCTTGGCAGTGAGACGTGGCTACAAGTTATGGACTAAAAAGTTGTTGGCAAAAGTTGTCATAGCCTAAATAAAGAGTTAAGTGGGTTAAGTCTGAATATATATTTGAAATGTAATCAACACAGTGGCTGACAGCACCTGGCAATTGAAGAGAAGGGTACTGTCCCCTAATTGACATTTGGTGAATAATTTACATTGATTCAAATCAATAGAAAATCACTCGATTATACCCATAAATAATCACAGCAACTGCCGGCACAGCAATGATATGTTAGACTTTTCGGAAATTTATTTAATTTACTTTGGAAGAGTATTAATTTTTTCCATTATATCAATGTCAAATTGAAAATCCCATCCTCTACAGCTAAACCTTTCAAATTATATACACTTTATCACCTTTACGCTCTGTAGTACTAACCGAGAAACACTCTTTTAATTTTGATTAATGGCATAAATGTCGACTTTTTGGCCCGCATCATTTATATGCCTGACTGACCGGGAACTCGGTATAGGCCTTCTATAAAACCTGATCCAAAAAGTTTTCTATTTTGTTGTTATCGATTACATGATGAATTGCTGAATGCGATTCCGTTGACACTTTCGAGACCTTTAGCAAAGCGCTTTCACAGGCCAAGAAATACGATTACTTTGGCAATTTAATTAAAATTTCCCACTGCATACTTGCCGATGGAGTTGGTAATAATCGCTGGCTGCTTTTTGTTCGGTGTTTCTCAACTAGCGTAAAGTTTATTTTTATTACTCTTTCAAGTAACATTAAAATTTAGTTGCATACGCAACAGCTCAGAGGAGGGCAACGGGAGCGGGCCATAAAAATCCTCCAGTGTAAAACTATGCTGCGCTTTTATAAGTATTTTATTTGTAGCAGCCAGCCAGCAGCTCCTGGGAAACTGGCTGGTGGAGTGGAGTGGAGTGGAGCCGAGACGGCAGTCTGTTTCTTAGACTCAGCAGATTTAGCAATCCTTTGCCAAAGTTGCGGCATTAAAAATACAACACGACGACCGGGTGGGGGGGCCAAGAGGTTGTGCCATACACACAGAGTTGCAATTTGCTGAGCAGATGAGAGGTGGCAGGGCAATGTGGGAAATGCAATGAATCGTTAAATTTAGCATCGTATTTCAATGCAATTCAGTAGAAAACGAAACGGGACGAAACGAAAACGCTTCTGATGCTGACAGGTGAATTGCAGCTGTCAGTCAGTGGAAACGACCCGCTCAGCTCATCTTCTCCTCTCTCATTCGCCTCGGAGGCAACTTTCTGTTGTTGCTGGCCAAATGATTTGTCGCCGACATACAGACACAGGCACCCGTACACAAGTCCACAGCCCATGGAGTCCATAGAGGACCTGGAAAGCAGCTTAGCAGCTCATCCTTACCCGGGGAGCATCTTATGACTATTTGCGAGCTAAGGCGCTTCCAACCTGAACCGAACCTGAACCGTATCCAAACCCCTTGCCCGTAAAATGATACCCTCTCGCACTTTGCACTTATTAAAAAGTCGTACTCTCGATACGGGCTAAATTCTGGCTTGGAGCATAAATTGCCAGGACGCAGGCAGCAGGCAGGCCTAACTTTGAAGTTTTTCCCTAACTAGGGCTGGGGTCATAAAACCCAGCTGCAGACTTTACGATCCGCTCCAGCATATGCTGATTTTATATACACATGTATATGGATACGTGTACGTACCCATACACAGGCATGCGGACGTGGAGATTGAGGCACATTCCATTTTTCTGTGAATGCCACACGGGGTCAATTTTTATGAGCATTTTGGCATATTGGAAAATGGGCCAAAAAAGTTATGGGTATAATTTAAAAGGGGTTACAAAACAAAAAAAAGAAAGGAAAGGGAGCAAAAAACAATTCCCCCGCGGTGGCATGAAGGAGTATTATACATTTGGCCTAATTTAGCTTTTTGTGTGCAAAAAGTAGTCAATCTTCAAGTTTAGGTGTTTAAATCTGTTCCAGAAAACTTGAAATGTAGTATTGGATACTATAGAAATGGCGTATAATTGCCTAAAAATGTTAAGAAAATTTTTCGAACTTGATCGTTTTAGGTCGTTTTGTCCTTCTTATACGCGTAAAGTATTTTTTTATATTAACTGAGCAGACAAAGAAGCGGATGTAGTTCGGATGGATCTGCTAAAAATATTAAATACGTAAAAAGAATCTTACTTTCCGCTTTGGTTTCGCTAAATGCTCAAAAACGGAAGCGCAAACGGACAAATTTTGTCCGCTTAAAATCCGCAAAACTATCATTTTCAATATTATAAATAAATTTGTTGTCTGCTGGGAAGTCTAAAGTACTATATATCAACTCAGAATGAAGTTGAACTAGATTCATATTCGGTTTTCCAACTTGAAATTGTTTAAAAATGTTTTATTCAGATATTTTAAAAAGGGCTTTTTGTTAATTTAGATTTATTATATAATTTCAATGGTATTATCAACATATACTCGTAAAATCCACTTGACCTTTTATCACTTCCTCTTTCAATTTACACACTCTATTCTCGGTCTATCTTAAATAGTTATTGCAGTTCGATATATATGCACTCCCGATGGGGCCAAACGTTGGTAGAAATACTTTTTTTATAAAATCAATTCGAATTTTATATTGAAGTTCCTTTTTTCAGCCTCTTTTTTTAGAGGCTTCGGCAAAAAATGTAGCATTAATTTCCATATAAATTGCTAGAATTTTTAGTATTTGTGGGCGTGAGGGTTCAGGGGATTGTGGAGCAGGGAATGTGTATCTATAACTACACATTTCAAACGCTCAAATCAATTTGCACATATCAACAACGAAATTGTTTGCTCAATGCAGACTGCGTTGCCAGTCATTCTTTTTTTTTTTTTTTTTTTTTAACAACCCAGCTCACCTCCCCGAAACGCACGAAATGAAAAATCAGCAAAAAGGTGCCAGGCTAACGAAACTCGACTGCTGTTCAGATTCTTCCACTCTTTGCAGGCCCTGGGGCTGTGTGTCTATGCTAACTACAAATTTGCTACATTTGCTATTCCTTTAATCTTCGTAACAGGGAATAAGACCGCCAAGTATCAGCCCAGATTGCTCAAACATAATTAAATTTATTTAAATTTTATCTCTGTATTTGGCCAAAAACCAACACGAGCGCGCGCATTCCGGCAAATAAACAGAAATCCCTGTTTTATGGCCTTAATGATACGCTTTTTATGAATCGGCACGGAAGTGTCTTGAATGCTGTCTGTGTCTGTGCGTATTTTTTTTCAGTCTGCCTTCTGCCATTGCCATGCCAGAATCAGAGACCAAAATTGTCAGCCCACAAAGCGGTAGCCAGAGGATGCTTGCCTTTTGGAAAACTTTAAATTATTTAGACTACTTTTACATTGTAGAGAGAGGGAGTCAAAGCACAGAGTCTCCAGATACAATGCAGCTGCCAAATATAATTATTTCCGTAGCTCTCGGTCAGTTCTTTTACATAATATCCATAAGGTATATGATAGAGAATATATTTAATTGATCAGCATTACTTTACAAATTAACTTAGTCATGTTTAAAAAAGATAAATAAGTCTAATATATCTTTAATAAATAGGTTCACCTTATATTAAGTTAATTTAAGTTATGTCGAATATATTTAAGTATTTTTAATGAATAATAATATCGCAACAAAATGAAACTAAACCTTAAATAATAAATCGCGTTGATCGGAAATCAACCCAATCGCGTTCGCGTTTAATAACTTATCCACTAACCGGCTTGCTGCCCGTTCCAGATGCAAATTATTCGGATATTCCATATATTCAATATCTCACACGTAAGTAGGGCAGGATGAGTCTTAGGTATCATACGTTAAAAATTTAAATCCCCGCTCTGCTATATTTAATTTCAATCAAAAAATGTTGAAAAAAAATGCATAAATCGAATTGATATGTTGGGTAAACTACATTACGCTGTGGAGGAGTGTGTGTGCCTGGCGGAGAGAGCAGGTCATGGCAACATGCAGCATGCACATGACAATATTTTTTTGTTGTTTAACGTTTCGTGATTTTTGTCAGATTTTTAATGCCACACATCTGGTTTTCCGTGCTGCCGCCTGGCTGGCTTCCCTATTTCCTCAGTCGCGTATCTCCTGGTTATTATTTATATGTGTGCAAAGCACGTTCCTAGAGGGTGTGCATGAGTGTCTGTGTGGGCAAACAACAAGCGACGTTGTATTGACAGCATATTGTGACAAATATGCAAAAAGAGTATAAGAAAAGCACTCGCATTCAGAGCTCATACTAAATACAAAGAGCATTCCAGGTACCAGCTTTAAGAACTGCGTTTTTAAGTAAGTCAGTTGTTCAGTTGCTTTCCGTGGATTAGAAACTAATAGTCGCTCTATTAACTTTTACTTAAATAGGAGTTGAAACTTAATACTCTAAACTAAAGTCACTCAACAAAGCGTAAAACTGATCTGACACACTAAAGTAGGGCCTTCACCGAATACCTGGGAAAAATAATCAGAAAAGTGGCATTAAAAATCTAGAAAATCTCTAGAAACTCTAAATACCTATCCTCTGATATACCAGTAACCCTTTTGTCCTGTTCTTTTTCAACCTCCACAGATCCCCCGGAGATCATCAGGAAGCCACAGAACCAGGGTGTGCGTGTGGGCGGAGTTGCTAGCTTCTATTGTGCGGCCCGCGGTGATCCGCCGCCATCGATAGTGTGGCGCAAGAATGGCAAAAAAGTTTCGGGTAAGTTCCTCATCCAAACTCTCGCTTCTCTGGCTTCGTAAGGCGACTTAACCGAGCGTTGAACACACACATGTGTGTGTGTGTGTGTGTGCTTGATTTTGCTCTGCAGGCACACAATCTCGTTACACGGTTCTGGAGCAGCCCGGCGGGATTTCCATACTGCGGATTGAGCCAGTGCGGGCGGGACGCGACGATGCTCCCTACGAGTGTGTGGCTGAGAACGGAGTGGGCGATGCCGTTTCCGCAGATGCAACTTTAACCATCTATGAAGGTAAGTGCCATGCGATTCCTTACTATGCTGAGCTGGGGACTAAGCCGTCAACGTCTGCAGTTATTTATAGCTGCTGAGTGCGGCTTCCTAATTGAACCTCACTGCACTGAGGGAAATTCGATAATCAAACTTTAACATACAGCCTAAGATTTGTAGCTTTTATTAAAGAAAATGTATGGTATCCCCTTCAGAGAATAAGCGAAGCTGTCGTTATGATAGGAAAATCAGTATGAGCCACATTTACTTTCCATAAAATAATCAACTTGTTTTCCCAGTATATGTGAAGCACCCCGGAAGGGGTTGTGTTTTGGGGCGACACAAAAAGTTTCGTTTAGTATGCGTCGCATTTGCCAACTAAGTTCATACATTGATTTTGAATTAAAACTGGGCAAAGAAGTTGGCGTAAATGGTAAACTTTCGCAGGGCCCAAACCACCAAGCCCCAAAGAGGGTGGCGTGTGGCGGTCGAAAGTTATTTGCCAGCTTGTTTGTGCGGCTTAAATTACTTGCCAAAATTTACTTTTGCTTATTTACAACTGTGCAAAGGATAAAGTTTTCGCTCTCTAAGCCTAATCAAGTCTGTGTGGGGGGGGTGGATGGGCCTGGATAGCTTGGCAATTGAACTAATTTGCTTAAACTGAGAGCAGGCCAAGTATTTATATATTTTCTTCTCATTTTCCCTTACTCTTTGACTTCCAAAATTATAAACAGCAAAAAGTTCAATAAAAAAAAACCTCTGCTCCCAATTGGTACTTGAAGCGGATAGGCCGAGAAGTTATAACTTTTAATGAGATTAAAGCAGGAAATTATTTGGTAAATCAACTCGCAATACAATATTCATATTGATCGATGGTCTGCGGGTTGTTGGGTGTATTTAAAGCAAAATTAAGTGGACTTGAAGTGTTTTCAGGGCTCAAAATCATTCTTACTTGGGAATTTAATGAAGGAGTTCTGTTAAGGATATTGTTTCATGTTTTTTAAAGTAAATTGATAGAAATTTTCTTTCGTATTTAAGGAGATTCATGCTCTAAGCTCTACCAGTTTTAGCTTGAAACCCCTAATTGCCTGTTTAAATCTCCAGCCAAGTCGGGCTGTGTGTTACCTTTACCTTGGCCTGCCTTTTGGGCTCTTGTGCTAAACTTTTACCTTCACTTGCATGGCTGTTAGTCCTTTGCTAAACTACACTAATTACTTCCCGCGTATAGGCCGGCGTTTGAGTCCATCGGCGAGCGTTACAACCTGCCACAAATCAAATGCACACCAATTACGTGGCGCCAGAGTGCACAGAGAGCATAATCAACTCGCATAATTAACAACTAAAAATGCAAACGTTGCCACTGGTAGAGTAAAAAGACCATGCAGAGGGTGCAATGGGGAGTCCTAGAGTATATCAACGAAAATATGTTCTTTTTTTACCCCCCATTCACCTGGCCTACGTGCACTTTTCACACATTTTGTGGTTCCCTTTGGCGGCCTCATAAACAACCAACAAACAACTAGCTAAAGCCAGAACAACAACAACAAAAGCAGCAACAACAACAACAACAACAAGAACAGCAATAATAAACAAGCTAAAATAGCTGGCAGACAGTAGTAAATTATAAGTTGGAGCTCTAACTCGTAGACTCTGGGATAAAGTAGTGCACATTACTCATACGCCGCGTACATAAATTTTCCACCCAGCCCCCTCTGGGTACGTAATTATTTTCCGTTTACAAAATGTCTGCCAAACACCTGGAAGTCATCAGTAGAGGGTGTAAACGGGAACTGGGAGGTTCCATTATCGAAAATACAAAACATAGCAACTTTAAGTATACATTTGTATTATTCGTACTTAATTAAAATGTAGCATTCCATTTTGAAATGAGGGAAAAACTCAAAACATTCATCCAGAGAGACTCCACCGAAAACATGACCGCCATCCGACAGATAACAAAGTCACACAGCCATGAGCAGCAGCAGCAGGAGCAGCAGCAGACTGGCCAAAAGCCGAGTCCGCCGGCCAGAAGGAAGGGTGCGTAATAGGAAAATAATAATGCAGACAGGCGAGTGGAGGATAGCATAATAATAAATACACTAATACCAAAAGCAAGCATGAAACCTAGAACAGAGAAAAAAAGAAAAATTATCGCATGCAATAAATTTGGGAAAAGCGTGCAGAGAACAGAAGCAATCAGCCAACAAATTGTAAACAGTAAATTTCAGCAGCCAGAGGATGGGAAGGCCACATTATCACTAAATCGCTACGACTAACGGAGTCAGTTGGTTAAGCGTTTCGAGCATAAATACATACAGAGCGAAACAAAAAGAAGAAGGATGCTGGGTAGTCACGCCTTCTAGAGGGGAAATTTATCCGCTTAGAGCAGCAGCAGCAACAGCAGCAGCAGTGGCTCCCAGTTTCTCCCACCACGAAACTAATATTTATTTCGATATTTGCATAAAAAACAAACATGTCAAAAAATAAGTGCGAGGATTCTGCCTCACGGGTTGCTTTTAATTCTGTTTGGCAGCGTTTTGAAAACGGCAAAGGCAAACGCGGGGATTTACTGCATTTACCACGCCTGCTTCTGCTCCAGCTCCTTTTCACACGACAGAGCTGGGGGGAGGGTAAGGAGACAGAGTCACGTTACTTGCAGGTGTTGCAGGTGCAATCTATCGAGGGCCTCTGCGTGGGTGTGTCGGCTTTTGTGGCAAGGAGCGCGGCAAGAGAGGATATACACACACGCACACGTTCATCTCTGTGGCAAGTGTTTCTGATCTCGCGCTGCTTTAGCCTGTTGAGAATTTTGATTAAAAATGCTTTCACGTGAAACTCAAACGTGCCTGCGCGTTGCTCCTCTGCATATGTGGGCGCCTTTATTGGCATTTTGGGTGGCGCCTTGTGTGTGTTTGTGAACATTTTTACACTGGGATTTATCACACAAAAAAGTGTAAAAAAAAGAATGTGCAGTGAAAGCGTGTGAAAAGGGGAGAAAAAGGATACGTCATGAGATAAAAAGGAGGAAATGCTAAACTTTCTGCATATTTGCTTAAGTTTTAATAAACGAATGCATGCCTTGACTTTAATTGTATGCTTAAATTCTGATTACTGAATAATATTTAAAGTTTCCACTGGCATTGTCTAGACGGCTATTAAAAATCTCCTCCTTACCCTTTCGCAAATTGCAATAAAATCATCTGAAGGCCAATCTACCCTATCCCCCCTGCGGTGGCCAAAGAACACAACAGCACAAGACCCAAAACAATTTGCTTTTAAATTTGCCTGCCACAAACCATTTTGGCACCTCGAAAAAGCTGAGAATTTTGCCTTTTTGTTGTGTAGCTGCTTCCTGGCAATCCTCGGCAAAAACAATATGCCGTCGCTGGTTTGGGGAGGTGGAAATAAATTTCATTAATTGCCAGTCCAAAAAAGGAGACTGCGATGGCATCGTTCTGGCGATTCACAGGCGCGCGCGCATTCATTAATTTCACTTTATAGTAATAAGCGGCTTTGCTGGTTACGGTTTTGGCTGGTTTGGCTTTTTGTGTTGTGTTCCTTTTTTGTGCCCACCGAGTCCGAGTCCGGGTCAGAGTCTGAGTCCCAGTCCGGCCTCGGTGGACCATTAGTAGGGCTTGATTAAAACGGTGGACTGAACTGAACTGGACTGGCGTAGAGTGGGCCGGTTATGTTCGCTTTGCTCTTCCGCACTTGTTGCAAAGTCAAATGGCATGTCCTGGGCTTTGGGGAAAACTTCATCCTTGGTTCGCCCGCTGTGCTCACATAGGCAAACATTGACAATGCACTGGCAGCGTTTAACTGGCCTTAACTGGAGTACTCGTACCCGTCCTGGCACCGTTTTGCGGTTTGCCTAAAAAGTCATATTAATAATGAAAATTCTACAGTAGCGAAAAGTTTAAATGGACGAAATTCGCTGCGAAGTAGCCGTCTCTCATGCAGCCCTGCAGCAATGCAGATGCGGCGCCAAGCTGTGCCCGGCAGGAGTAAACTGAAAGCCATACAGTGAGGAGGAGTGTGTGCTGGAAAGTTGAGGGCTCCTGTATGTGTAATGTATGACAAAGTGGTGAACTTAAGGCAAGAGCAGAAACAGGAAGATAGAGCCGAAATGTGTTTACCATAAAGTCAATTTGCTGATTTTAATAAGTTCATTTTAAACGAAGTTGAACTCATTAAACTTGAACCAAGTCTAAAATATTGATATGTTTAATTCTGACGTAAAAAGGGTTTTACAGAGTACTTTTTTTACTCGAGCTGCATAAAATATCTTTCATCATATGGCTATATTTTAGCCTAAGAACCAGTAGCCTTGTTCAGGCCACATGCTCGCTCGCTCACATTTCACTTAATATGATTTGTGCTGCCAAAAAGCCATAAAGTGCCGAGCTAAATTGCTAAAATATTTCAAAAACCCGCCACAATATTATGTAAGTACGTCACTATATATATTAATGTTTAAATGTGCGGCTGGCGAAATATGGTTGCGTGTGTGAGGGAATCACCCACGTAAGTATCAGGCAACGTCGACGTTTTAAATTGAGCAACTGGGTTCCTGCAGCAGAACCACAACAGCGGAGCGTGGCCATTTACTGAGAAGAAGGTTACATAAGGAAAAAGTAGTAATGGAAGCCTAGCTGGCAGGGAGTTTTATCAAATACATCCAACAGGCTTTTGGCCAGGCGATTAGGTTATATTATATATGTATTTTTATCAAATACTTTGAAGGACGTTACTGAGACCTTATTTGGAGATTAGCCAGCTTAAAATATACATGAAAGTAAACTGACATTGGGAATATATTTTATACGTTCGTACATTTCCTTCGATCGATTTTTCTTTTACATCTCTATTTGCCGAGATCTTATTATGGCGGAAAATGCATTTGAAATTCATCAGAAGCAGTAGGTAGCAAACCCAGAATCTCACATGACAGCTGCCCGCCTTTGCATCCATATCTTCCTGGAACCTGCCCCTGCCCCTGCCCCTGCCCCTTCCCTTCGCAATCA